CGTGAGGTTTATAGCAAAGAAAATTCAGAAAAATTTAACAAACGAAATTCCAGGCGGGCGAAACCGCGGGCGGAAAGCTAGTTTATTATATTTTAAACCTACCAAATTTTGGATTAGCTGTTTTATGATTCCAAAAGGTTTTTTTACAATTTTATTTCTATTCATAAGTCCGTAAAACTCCTCAGTGAAACAAAGCCAAAGTTCAACCATTCAAATGCCCTCTTCCCCTACTCAGTGGTTTCTAAAAATACGAAACATTATGTCAATACCACTTTAAAAAGCACTTGAAACCTATAAAACGACCTAAAACTTTGACCCCTCTCAGCAGGGAAAAGTCTTTTTATTGCTTAAATTATAAAACCTTTTTATACCTTCAGTAGTTTCGCTTCCTTTTCTAGAAACATTGCATATTTACGTAATTAAATACTGTAAAGGTATTATAAACCTGTGCTTCTAACTATGCAATGCATTATTTTTCAGTTATGTTCCTGAGATGTGTGATTTATGTTTTATGAAAAAAAAAAAATATTTGAGGCCAGGGCCCATAAAATTTCAATAATAATTGCATTAAATAATTAAAATCATATTAAATCAATCAAAATAATAGATACAAATAAATTAAATTATAATTATATATATAAATATTAATATGTGTCATTATCAAATCGAAATCTAAAACGAATTATAGCACAATACATATAAGTTTAGGTTGTAGCTATGATATGATGATAACAGTAAATGGTCCCCACCGCTGCAACTCCTGTGTAGCCAGGATCTACAACTTGACCCCAATAAAAACCCAACCAGTGAAGGCCAAGTTTGTCCCGGGGGAAAGTTAAACTGTCATTGGACCCGCAACAAAATATGTAAAACCAAAGATTGTAGTTTATCTGATATACCTACCTACCCACAGGCTACGAAGTTCTCTGTCAGCAAATGGTAAAATCATGATGATGCATGGCATGCAAGTCATCATGCATGATAGAATCTGCGCAGCATTCCTCAATATTAGATCGAAACACAGCGGATACGCCCACTTTTCTAAGCTGACTGATGCATCCACTCATAAATATGCTTCTGTATATTTTGCCGCGAATGCTCGGGCTTGTGAAAATAAACTACACTATTACGCATCACTTCAGCACGTCTTATTTAGAACATGGACATGTTTATGGTCGTCTTTTTGGTGCTCAAAGTCATCAACATAGGATAGTTTGTTATCGTCACGTCAGTAGCTCAAGTGATGAAGTCCCTTTTGGACATTTTACACTACGCTTCTAGTCCCAAATTAAGCAAAGCTTGTACTATGGGTACTAGACTACGGATATAAATATACTTACATACTTTTTTTTGTAAATACATACATATTACATAGTAACATCCAGACCCGTCACAGAAATTAAAATTCATCATTTCGATTTCTGCCCGGCCGGGAATCGAACCCGAGACCTCTCGGCATAGTACCTAGTCCGTTCTGAACCACTGCATCAAATGGCCGACAAAATGCTTACTGCCCGACTTTTGTTTGTCTCCTGCCATCCGTTTGGCACTGGAGTCCGGCCGTTACCCTAGAAATTATTAAAATTTTGATAATCTGTGATACTGATCCTCCTCCTACGTATAATGGGGTGGAAAACCTTGGGGGAGGCCTTTGTCCAGCAGTGGACGTCATTTGGCTGAAACGAACGAACGAACTCTATTGCACCTAAAACAGAGTTGACTGAGACTGTTTTAAGACTTAAGTGAATATGCATTTATCACTCCAAAACCATAAGTTTCCCAGATATGAATAATAAGATGTGGTACTCGATTTAGTGATAATTTTCCTATATCTGTTGTTTTTATGTGTATGTTGAAATTTCTATTCTTTATTATTACATCGCCACGTTTCAGGGCACTTAAACACGTCCCAAATTTTAATATGGAATGGCCTGCCTTGTTATACATATGTGACTCGTGTACAATTTTAACTACCTATATCTCTATCGATTTCTATCAAAATATGTAGAGTCAAATAAACAAGTAAAAGCGGCGTGGGACTAACTTTATTATTGAGGGGTTAACAAAACAGCAAAATCACTTCCACACTTCTATTGGAAACTCAACAGGTATCTTTTCGTCGTATTCGGCATGCGCCTGCAAAGCGAGCCGTAATTAAAATTCCTTAGTAGAAAAATATAGGAAGCAGTTTCTTTGATAAATAAACATCCGCGGCCTTACTGGTTGGATTGGACGAAAGATATATGCGGTTTAACGCTTTATGATGTTGATAATAAAGATGTTTTTGCGTTGTTATACTTAAGGGCTTGACCTTGGTGAGGAAAATGATAGCCGTGGAAACATACGGTGTGGGTTTTGAGACCGGGACGCAGCAGAGAAAGTTTTTTTGCAATAGCGTTTATTATGCTTTAGAAATGACAGGTTTTCTACGATTTATTAATTTAGCTTTTAGTAAAGCTTTTTTGGCAAATGTTTATTATCCTTTAGAAATGGCAGATTTTCTACGATTTTCTAATTTATTTAAGAAATTTTTTTGCTCGCCTTGAATGATATAATAAGGTAGATTACAATGTCTGTTTTAATGTAGGTAGGTACTTACATTATGTTTGTTTTAAAATTCTCATTGTTATTTTTCTGCAATTAGTGCTGGAAACTTAGGTAAGTACCTAAGAACTTTACATTTCATATAAAACGTAACACTCCCGATTTTGCCCGACTAAACGTTCAGTTATAATTGTCGTCTCTACATTAGGACATGATTTTTCAGTAGGTATTTTCTCGGTAAATAATCGCATCGCCAACGCCCCAACTATTCGTCCGTATGTTTACACGTATCTTGCGAAGACACGGCACCGTGAACCCGGTGCGCTGAAAGCTTAATGTATTGTAATTCACGGTCGTGAGAATCGCACGTGTTGATTACAGTTCTTTTGTTTTTGAAGTTTTTCTCAAGAATAAACCACTTTAAAGCATTTATGTTATTATGAACTTACACAGGAGCGGGCTATGCTCGGAGTTTCCCTGCGTGATCGAATCAGAAATGAGGAGATTCGCAGGAGAACCAAAGTGACCGTCATAGCTCGCAGAATTGCTAAAATCAAGTGAATAAAGAAAAAGAAAAAGAAAATAAATAAAATGAAAGTGGGCGGGGCACATAGCTCGTAGAGACGAAGGCCGTTGGGGCAGAAAAGTTCTCGAGTGGCTACCACGGGCCGGAAGACGCACGGGCAGGCCTCCTACTAGGTGTACCGACGATCTGTTGAAGGTCGCGTCGTACCGGTCGCGTCGAACCGGTCGTTTTGGAAAGCCTGGTCTTTGTCCAGCAGTGGACGTCACTTGGATGAGACGAACGAACAAATGTTGGGATACTCATTTATGTACTTTATTTACTAAAAGCACAGCTTAAAGTATGTATTTAATTCAAGTAGCCAAAGTCCAGTGCGCCAATGGACTAGACTGATCGTAGACGGTGAACAAACTTTAATTAGGTACCTATCTTCACCGGTCATATCTACTAATAAAATATTCAACAAGTAAACGATCATTGACCAGCGTACAGTCAGAAATAATTACTATGTACTGAATAAGCCGAGTCGACATGTTGATTTCACAAACGGAATAAAAAATGCCATGAAACTTTACCTACAAGAGAATTCCATGGAATTGCAAGGTTTTTGCTTTGTGTATCTACCTATAAAGCGATTATGGTTTCGATTCGATAGAAATTGAGTTGTGAAATAACTAGCTTTGTGTTCTTTATTATGCTCTAACAAGATTCTTATTAAATTAGTAGATTTTAAAGTATACTTATCAATATTCTGTGGTACTTACTCGTATAACGTAGAATAGGTATTCTTTGGGATTTTTTATGCAGAACAAGGCAGGTATTTGACCGTAATCGTACCTGATGTAAAGTGACATGTTGTCTAGGATGGTGATGGACATGGACTAGGATGAATGGACAGCACTAAGTGCTTGGCCAGATTGCACACACTTGCGTGTGGCGGGCGGGACGCGTTGTACTCAAACGTATGAAATCATGAAGTTATTGGATTGTCCCTTGTACGCACTGACCTATATAAATTATTTTTTGATATTACGACATTTTTCTAATAAAAAAGTTTATACATTTGAGCAGTGGAATCACACCTAAGAAAATGCGCGTTAAATCTGTTACACTTTATAAACACAGGCACTTTAACAGCTTTAATATGACCGCTGAAAGCCCTAAAAATGTGAATCACCTTCCAAAGTCAAGAAATAAAGACTGGTTTGAAAGGTCAGGGTCAAAAGCGGTCATCCTTTGTTACCATTACAATGCCTGATTTATGTATATGTTTACAAGTTAAATGTATCTGGAAATACAAGATGTTTGCCAAATGTGGAAGATCGGAACATAAAGTTTTCGGGATCTAAAGAAATACAGGTACTTACTTACACGAAGGTCAAGAACGAAGGCCAAATTTTTCAATAAATTACGCATTAATTGAAAATGTATGATCTCAAAGCTTTGAAATCAAATTTTACAGCCAACCGAAAACTTTCAGCGATAGAATTAATGTTTTTATATTATGGACCTATGCTTGAAGATCAAATGCCTATACATTACTTGCGTAGTAGGTGCTAAAGATTATTCGAACGTTGAGTACTGTGCAGTGGGCTGAGTGTGAGTTTACATCAATTTACCAATGTATGAAAATTTTAATTTTCGAACGTTTCCCGCTAGGGGCGCTGTACAATCCGTCATACATTTAAATGTCATTTTTTGACGCGCTCACCAGTTAGCGCGTTTGATGAAAACTCAGACTAGGCCCTCTGATACCTCAGTGGATAATAATGAGCACATATTTTGATTACTTTTTGTGTGTGTGAATTTTATATGCGACACTGAGTTTCAAACTCAGCGTATTAGTTGGCATCTCTCTATATCTGTATGGTCTGAAACCTACACTGTTCTCTGTCTCTTCAAACTTTTTAATGGCATTTATCTCTCGTTTCAGTTACGGAGACATGGTGCCGGGCACGATAGCCGGCAAGATCGTGGGCGGCGTCTGCTCGCTGTCCGGAGTGCTGGTCATCGCGCTGCCCGTGCCAGTCATCGTGTCCAACTTCTCCCGGATCTACCACCAGAACCAGAGGGCTGATAAGAGGAAGGCTCAGAGGGTATGTCATCATCATCATCATCATCATTTTCAGCCATAGGACGACCACTGCTGAACATAGGCCTTCCCCAATGATTTCCACGATGACCGGTTGGTGGCGGCCAGCATCCAGCGCCTTCCTGCTACCTTTATGAGGTCGTAGGTCCATCTTGTGGGTGGACATTAGGATGACAGCGTAGGCGTTGCGCTTGCCGGTAAGAGGCTTCCTTTCCATAACCTTGCTGCCCCTTCGGCCGTCAGTTCTGCGTACTATGTGCCGTGCCCATTGCCACTTCAGCTTGTTAATCCGTTGGGCTATGTCGGTGACTTTAGTTCAGACATGCCCAGACATGACACCACCCAGGTAGACAGAAGGTAGGTATGCACTCAGTTAATATGAGTTCATAAACATCACAAAATAAAGGAACACTACCAATACCTCAAATTATGAAAAATTAAGTCTTCGTCGTTTCTGTCAAATGACGTCGACAACGGTCCCCCAAGGATTTCCATAACGACCGGTCATGCATCCAGGTACTTCCCGCGACCTTCACCAGATCGTCGGTCCACCTAGTCTGGGACCTGTCCACAGCCCATTGAAAAACTAAGTCCATTAGAACTTTGTGTATGTAATTACAACAAAAAATAATTACGTCATCCTAATCAGTTACCTATTCGGTTTTAAAAGACGAGTTTATAAAGTATGGATCTCGCCGATTTATATTGTGTGCAGTGTGAAGATGGTAGACTGTCTGGTCTGTCAACTGTTAAATAGTTCGTACCTTTGTTAGCCAAATGACGTTCACTGCTGGACAAAAGCCTTTCCCCTTAAATAGCAATTTCTTTAAAAAAATGTTACGGTTACTATACATCATTTTCTTTAAACCCTTCCAGAAAGCTCGTCTTGCCCGCATCCGTATCGCCAAGGCATCATCAGGAGCCGCCTTCGTATCCAAGAAGAAGGCAGCCGAAGCCCGCCTGGCTGCCCAGGAGTCAGGGGTGGAGCTGGACGACGCTGGCCGAGACGAGGACATCTTCGAGTTGCAGCACCACCATCTACTGAGGTGTCTGGAGCGCACCACGGTAAGAGACGATAGTTGAATTGACCAGAAGAATCTTGGGCATTTATCTGGGAGATATTTGCACAGCTTGGAAATACAAGAACCTTGGATATACTGATCTGGAAATCCGAAGATTGAAGAGCATGATTTGTCAGCAATATTGGGTATTATCTGACAGAACAGTAGGTATTATGACCAGTTTGAAAATAGAAGAATCTAGAGCATCTTTAACATTTGTTCGGTGAAGAGCATGTCATCAAAGTACGCGTGAGATCTGAAGGTAATCACAGTCTTTCCATTTAGAACTCCTCGCCTGAAGACTTAGCTTTAGACACTTTTAGGCTGAGTTGCACCACCTAACTTTAACTGTAACTATGACGATAATCGGTGCGTTTTGTATGGAGTTTGACAGATTTTTGACGTTTATCAAAGTTAAAGTAAGATAGCGCAACCCAGCCTTAGTCACTGAAAGACTTCTCTTGCTTGACGAGTAATTTTAGTTGAAGCAGAAGTTCGAACTAGAAGCTTTTTCAAGAGCGTTAGGGGCGAGTTCTGTTTGGTGAAGCTCTAGAAATCATTACTGGTAAGATACTTATGATAGCACTTTGGAGCACTACGAGGATTTTTTTGTTTTTGATAGTTTTGATCCTTCAACACCGAAGCTGCACTCTTCGCCTGCATTTCAGGTGACGCATGTTATTCTTTCACTTAACAGGGTATGTATAGACACTTAGAAGTTAAAAATTTTAATGCTATAAGCTGCATATAATCTAATCTCAAACTAAGCTTAATTTCGGCTCTGTAGATCTACATATAATTATAACAAACTTTAATCACTATGCTTTAAAGCTTCACTTATAGCAACCATAATACTCAAGAAAACACCTTTTGCTCCCTTTACACCTGATGACCATTTAGCTGTAGGCTCATTATATACATGCCATACACGTATATATACACATATATATATTGTATGTTATGTATATTGCATGTAATACTAATACTGGAATGACCACAGATCGGGCCAAGCGACTTGCCGGCCTCGCACCTGTCTCGATTGCAGGAAGACTCGGACTCCTCCCAAGACAAAGTATGGACAGCAGTATACCGTAAGAATTACAAACAGTGACGGGGTTTTAGGCTAAACTTGCATATTAGATGGGACTTGTACAGAATAGTAAGTATTCTCCAAAAGACTCCCAGTTGTTTGTTATTCAAGCTCCTGATTATTTAAAGCATATTACAATGCATTTTTTGTATACATTATACATGTGTGATCAATTCTTAAATTAAAGATAAGTAAATTCTCATTCTTCATATAGTAGGTATAAGAGTAATTCTTATGTGTTACAAAAAAGTAAATGTCAAAGAAGCTTGCAATTATAATTTTACGATATACATTCCAATCAATACAATATGAGTCCAACATAGTATCAACAATCCATTCTATATCAATCCTCTAAACGCAACTTTTGCAAAATACAAACTTGACTGTCCATTCCAGAAAGATCTGATCGTTTATCTTAAAAGGGTGATAGGCCGGCCACACTCTTGATGTATTATGGACCCGCTCCCCGTTTCCAGGACCGGGAGTTCGTGGAGATGGAGAACCCCTTCAACGGGGCGGCAAAGCGGCCGGGGTCCCCCTCCCCTCTCGCGTCGCCCGCGCACTCCGGGCGCGCGCCCGCTCTACTGGCGTGCTGCGCGCGCTGCGGCTGCTGCCCGCAGAAGTATCAGGTGATGTTTGGAATATTATATTATTTTTGCAATATGGGTCAAAGAATAAAAAGGTTGTAATATTGACTAATTTTTGAAATGTTATGACAATAATAACAGTTTGAAAATTCATGGTAATCGTTTTCAAGCTGATGATTATACTATAACTTAAAACGTAAACGCTAATCATTAAAATTTAACACTGTGACTGAGCAATTGCAAATTTTTAAGGTGACATAATATCATAGTTAAAATAGACAGTATTGGATATTTACATCGTAAAATAGATATACAAGACATAAGATATAATAAGTAAACAAGTTATTATAATTCAATGAATGTTTAATAATTTTAAAAGAACAAGTTGACGAAAACTTAACATGACTGTCAACATTATTATTTTTCTTAGCTATTGTCTTAGCTACGACAATCAATAGTTTTTTCTTAATTAACGGTTCTATTGTTAGTAGACAGACAACTTATACTTTTAGCCTTAAGTATAACTTATGCCCATAAGTGACACGTGTAATTTATTTGGAAATACGCCAATATTAATGCCTTCAGCGTATCGTGATTTTCTTGCTTTAGTTCCTTATTGTTTTATTTTTATCGTTCTTGGAACAGAAGCGTCGTCGATCTGTGCGGTGTATAAGCCCTTTAAGGCTACCGCTCCGTACAGGCCCTATACGAGAGGTACTATGTTGTGTCAGCTGACAGTCACTATCATTGTCGACCTTATTACGTAGGCTACAAAAACTGTTTTAGCTTACCTCGTAATAATGGTCAGATCTGTTGCTTTTGGCTAAGTTTTTTTGTCAGATGATGTGCTATCAAATATTAAATATATAAATTTAAGCTTTCTCTTGTTGTATATAAGCTAATATACATTACTCCAATGGCTAGATGCTAGAAAACAGTGTATATTATGTTTTATAAATAGTATAATAAAGGAGAATAATAAGCTCGAAGAGTGATAACGTAGGTATAAATGTTTCTAATACAAAAGCTAGGAACTAAGTTGAAAGAAGAACTATAATTAATAATAGAGTAATACTGTTACAATCTTGTCATTATAGTCGAAGCAGTTGGTGAGTATAGTTACGTAAAATAAGATTGTATTTTTTATATTCAAGTATTTTTGACTGAATGCCAGCTCTTTACACATCACTAAAATTAAGTTATTATATTGATTTTGCTAACGAATAATTAGTTTGTATTTATTAATACTTGACAGTTCTACATAATTATACACTTCACAAAATGTAGATTGAGAATTTTAAAAATAACCACAAAGCTGAGCACACTACATGAGTTTACAAAAGACACGTAGATTTATAATTGCGTAGACACACAAACAGCATATTATTTTAGGCTAAGTTTTTTTCTTATTATAAATTTTTGGTTGAAAAATCTTTTTAAAACACAGCTCAGTATCGAATTGGCTCTGACAGGTCCTGCTTTTAGACTCGAGTAGAAAAAGTCGGCTGAAAGGCGCTCGCCGATACACCGCCACCTCGCGGCCTTCTGACACGTCTGTTTCGGCCGCACCAAGCGAAGACCCCCTACCAGTATGTTTGTCGGTGTTATCACGCAGTGATGAAAGGGTTAACGAATATAAGGAAAAATAGTTTTAAATAGTATTGAGTTGATTTAAAAATTGTATTTTTATTGGTTTTATTATTTGATATGTGTTTGGATAAGTTGTTCTAAGAGTAGGCGCACACCGTTGATTTTTAGTTGGCCGATAGTTGTGCCCGATTTCAAGTTGTATGAAGAATCGGCCAAATCGAATCGGCGTAGTGTGCGCACTCCCATACATGCCCATACTGATCAACAGCCCGACTAAACTATCGGCCGACGAAAAATCAACGGTGTGCGCCTACTCTAAGTGTTTTGACTATTTGTTTTCGTCGTCTGGTTTATATAAGTTGTGTTAATTTTGTTACTAAATATTTACTGTATATTGTGAGCATTGTGATGGTCTACACAGAAGAATGAATACTGGATCCATTGGCTTTATTAGATAATAATAGTATAGTTTCTGACAACTGACGTATAATGAGAAAGTAATGTAAGATTCCGTCTTGAAACGTTGTGTGCTGGATTTGAATATTGACAAAAAGGTGCAGAAAGGTGCAAAGAGTTCCAGAGCAACCGGCTGCCACTCTGCTAATTCAGTGGTAAATACAGAAATATAAATAAGTATTATGGGAACACTATAATGCTTTGCTGATTCGTTTATTTCATCTGTAGGTAGGTGGGTTTTGTTGGTGCAAAATATAATTGGAATCCTGATATTACGTAGTCCATCAAAATGTCTCAGATACGTCACTAAATAACTTTTCCTCACTGTGTGATAATAGCCGAAATATACAAAATTTGAGGCTTTAAATGTCTGCAGGGTGTTGGCTGCAATATTATATATCGCTTCAAAAACTATTATACTGGAGTATGTCTGTTATATGTTGTATAAATGTCATATTATTTGGAGCTTGCGCTACGGTATCGCTATATTGTAAAGCATTTTATTTATTAGTGTGAGGTATATTTAATTTTGTATCCTGTATGTAGGTGTCTGTATTTACATTCCTATTTATTATTATGTATTTATTGTATATTGTAACTCTTGTCATTTTATACTTTGAAACTGTTACTATTATGAAAACAGGTTTAAGACGACAATTCGCTAAGTAGATCCAGGAGTGTTGATAATGTACATAGGTTTAATATGTATATTTATAAAAGGATGTCGTTGGAATGTTTGAGTGTCTAGCTAAATATTTATATATGTTGAGACTTATACTATGACATGATGTTTCAACGAATATGCCAACACACTGCACACATTTTCAATAAAATTGGCAGTAAAATATAACTAGAAACGCGAAATTAAGCACATTTTATTTGCTTTCGGTAATCCAAGTCAACTCAGAGCATTAACCATAATTATCTAACTTAATATCGTAAGTGAAAACAGTTATCTTGACAATAAGATAATCAAATCAATAGGTTTATTAATTTGCGTCAGTATTTGAGAATGTATACAACAAAGATATTCGACATCCATCTGTATACATCGCTAATTTAGGTAGTATACTCATATTTGAAGAGAAACATTTTTTTTAGTTTCACACATTACACGCTATTGGGTCTACAATTATTACAAATATATTCAACCAATAAGCATGTATGCACACAAAATATCGTTTTGTACATCACACAACCACTGCTACTTGCTATCACTACCTTTTGATACACTTTACTAAGTTTTATTTCTATCGTATCAGTGTTTTATTTGTATTTGAGATTGACTACATATTTTGGATACACTACATTTTTATTTATGCCGAAAATGTTTAACATTTTAATATCCCTTACAAATTTTTAGATGCTTTAAAATTATTTATGATTAATTCTGAAGCAGGTATCCAGCTTTAAGACAGAAGTTTAAATATTTTTGGCAAATTTAAAAATACTACAAGCTAGCTTTTTGGTGTCCAGCTTATTTGAAAATGTGTATGTAAAATATTGTCGTGTAGTTAGTGTATGTAGGTAGGTTGAATATACACACACATATTATTTGAAATTGTGTATTTCAGGTACAATATAATTGCGTTTACCGCCTTCTTTGTAGCTAAGTGAGGGCGGCTTATAATACTTTCTATGATTTTTTTCGTAATTTGTTTGAATAAGTTAAAGAAGTAATATAACGGCATCTAAAATTTATTATACATCTGTTTTAAAAATGTTTTATGATAACTTAACGATTAAGAAGTAATTTTAAACGTGAACTTTCTGATTTCGACAGCAAGCATGCGGCAAATACATTCCGGCTGGCAGCACGGTTCAGGGGAACCAGACTGGTGTTGCCATGGATGGGACTTATTTAGTGGAAGCATCTTTCTAGGGCCCGTCCACTAGTACTCATATGGAGAGTTACGTGTAACGCGGGCCTGGGCCTACCTGAGGCCTCCCAGGCCTCGGCGCAGCCACCGCTAGGCTCGCAGGCCAGGCCCCGCTCGCCGGGCCTCCTTGCCTGGCCCCTCACACGGCAGTGGTACGCCACAGGACTCAAAAGCCAAATCAAAGGCTGTTATGATTCGTCACCAATTACTAGGTTAATCGTTAATCTGTCTTTTAAGTCTAACATGATACTGCCTACTGATATCTGATTTGTAAAGAGGTATTGGATGGAAACGTTCGAATGGAAACACTCATATAAACACCATAGATTGAACATGCAATGGTCTAGTCTAGAATAATGAAACGATTTCACCAGAAACAGAAAAGCTTGAAATTAGTAATTCTTATTTTCGCATTGAACAGCGTAAATAATGTGGCAGTGAAATTTAAAATGACAGATAAAAGATGGTCAGTATTATTCTTCGCACTACAAGGACTTGTTAATGTATATTTACATATGTATATAATAGTATAATTTTGTGAAGTGTTTCTATTCGAATATACATTCTTTCATTGTCCTCTCCATGGAGATTTCTTTCTTAGAAATAAAGTGAAGACAATGTATTTAAGATTTTAATATTAATGACGGATTTAACGAATCTCGCTTCTATTTTAACAACGAGATGTCGGGAATGACGATGTGTTTTATGAAAAGACAAATAGTTTCAATCTTCAATATAGTCAATAGTTATTACAATCATATCATATTAGGCAGATATATTAAATAGTAAATTTTCCTCGTATATTCAATTTAAAAATGTTTCGTTTGGGATAAAAATTCCTACAGTTGTTGAAATTTCATTTGAAGTTGATTTTTCAATCCCACTAGGACTCTAGTGCCTTCAAATTATTTCAATGTAATCATAATGTTATGAAATTGTTACTCTATGTTAGTGAAACATAGAAGTAGAATTATCTATGTGAATTATAGTGACATGACGTGTCACAGTGATGTGTTGCGGTCTCGCAACTAGGTTCATGATACTTCGTGGCATCCAGTGTGGATGTATACAGAAATTAGTAGAATTGACCCCTCGTTCGTATAGTATAGCTATGGACATCTTATGAATGCAATAGATCGACAATGTTGAATAGATAGAACTTTATGTGGTTTAACTAGACTAATTTAATACGTTATAATTATATTAATAAAATGAGATGTATAATTACTTAATGTGGGTGTATTACTGCATTGAATGCATGATTTTTCGCGATGGTAATAAAATAATAGTTTTATTTGTATGTAGTTGTTATAAAACCGAATTCGATGTTCTCTTCCAAATTTTGCCACAATTTCTATTAAAGGTTAACGTATTCAATAAATTTGGTAATAATATTTAAAAATAAATATTTAAGAGTCGAGTTTAAATATTAAATCTAATAATTATATATTTCTGAATACCTTTCCGTCAAGTATTTTAGGTTTTCTTTTGTCTACCTTTATCAAACTGATTGTATGTATGTAATTATTTATAGAAATATCAGTACCCCTGTGATTATTAAGGCTGTTAATCCTGTTATAAGTTTTTTATACGCATATGCGTACCTATTCCAGATATATTTTTTTAAGAAAATCAAAATAATATCCTCTATTCTTTGACGAAAATCTTACTTACTCAAGTCTCGTACCCAAGGTTGGGTAAAATAATAATTGAAATATACAGGTTAAGTTCCTATTATATTAAATTTATGGATTTATTGTTGGATATAAGTCAAAATAATAATATTATCATTACTTATTTAATTTTTACTTTATCTACAGACGTGTATGCGTATATAAAACTTATATTTTACTATAAATAGGTCTATTTAAAGAAGCAGTATGTTGGAAGAGATAATAATATGAGATATTGATGCAACTGTTGTTAAAAACTATAAATTATTTACTATTATTTCAAGAATATTTATGTAAAATCACTTTTCGTATGTTCAAATTATCTTAAAATGTATAAATACTTTTTACGATCAAGTTGTTTATTACATTATATTTATGTATAAATTTATTATGTTGTGTCATTTAAGTCTAAATTAATTATGTATATTTTGTTGTATACATGAGATTAACAACAGTTGTTTATATTGGGTATATAAATAAATACCTATTTTAACAGAGATTATATTGTCTTTACTGCGTACCGCTATATTATACGTAAATAGGCCTAAATATGTTGTGTTTTGTTTCAATGTTATTAATTTATTATTATATATTTTCTATGAACTCTAATCTTCATTGTTGTAAGCTCTATAGTTTAACATATTATTTTTGTGGCACTTTTATCTAAAAATATACGTCCTTTCAATTTTAATCAAAGGATAATAATATTATTATTATAGTAGTATCATTTTTAACTTTCAAACTAGAGACTGGTGCCACAAAATTGATTAGATACCAATTTTATTATAGGAATGCGTTCATCTAAATTATTGTTGTCCTTTTCATACTTTATGGATTAGAAAAGGATGACTTTTAAATTTGAAAATAGAGATGTGTATTTGGGAATTTGGTGAAGTTGTTTTAATCTATGTATAATTATGGTATCAGTGACAAAAATATTTTTTGTTGTCTAAAGACTGTATCATTTTAATTAATGTAATGTCTATATTTATTGGAGATGAAACATGTTGTGAATCAAGTGTATGCTGGACCAATGTGGGTTGCGAGTGTGTAGTCTGTGGTAATAGAGGTGGGTGATTGTATCGATAACATTCGTTTTTAGCTATCGATTATTCGATTATTGAAATTAAAATGTTGTAATTTAAGATCCTTGGTTATAAACCTTTAGCTTAACGGTTCTTTGTTATTTTGAGAAAAAGAATAAACTTAATTGTGTAAATAAATGTGGTGTTATTTTTTTTATTTTGCGAACTGAAACATTCAAAATTAAAATTACTAAATTAGGCGAAAACAAACGCATAGTTGGCAGGCTGGCATTTATGGGTAGGTTGCTATAAATTAACCCTTAACTAGGCTCCAAAAATCATTAGTTTTCAACCGTATCTTCACAGCATAAACTTCAAATTGATCTGAGCTCTATGGCCACCAGAGACTGGATAAGGGTTAAGAAATTAACTTATCGAGTGTCAATGCTGGGCAACTCTCCCCCAAATTCTAAACATTCTACTGTTTTACATTATAAAATAATCTAATTTTTACTATAAGTTTTACAATTTATTTATCATAGCTACATCTATCGGACAACTCTGACTTTTATTGCCATTGTTGTTTTCTTACAAAATAAAGATAACAACGCCATCTATAGCATACGTCTCAAATTAACTCCCGCAAATGATTGAACTGCTAGCGCCACCTGGCGGAAACTTGTTTTACAAGACACAGCGATTGAAAGTTGTGTTGACGCTTTTGCAAGACATTGTTACATTACACGAACAACAATAGATGGCACTGTAGTAACTATTATAATAGTGCATTTCAGTGGAATATTGCGGGTAGTCATAAAAATAACAAGTCAAATATGCGTCGCAATAGCTGTCAGTTGTAGAATAAGATTGTTAGTAGTAAGACTGCCGAAAGTAAATTAATATTTAAAAATTCAATGAATACAAAAAGTATTTAAGTTTTTAAAGGTCTGTAAAATTGTAACAACTCTGCGACAAATAATACCTACGTAGTTTTAATTTTATTATAAAAGTGCCATCAATCATCAGAAAAAAACATAATCTTAATTATTGTTTCAGGCCCGATTCGAACAAACTTTTATCCGAGAATAACTTCTGGTATAACTGGCACATTGACAGTTTCAGTATGGGATAAATATGTCAAAACTGACGATTAATTCTAAGATTAATATTTACTCTCGTTTGCTCAAATCCACCCTCAGTGAATTAATTGATAGCGAAGAGCTTCAATGAACACAATCAAAAAGTTCTCCGTGTAGGTATAGTTGGCTCAAAAATCAAATGCAAAATCAGTGATACAGCATTGTGAGATGGCAGGCATCGTTCAGATATCCAGAATCCTGGCCACCGGAAGCTTACGGGACTATTCCCACTTCTCGTTCCCACCGCTGCAACTCCTGTGTAGCCAGGATCACAGCTTGACCGCCAATAAAAACCCAACCAGTGAAGGTCAAGTTTGTCCCGGGGGAAAGTTAAGCTGTCATTGGACTCTCAACGAAATTAATCAGAAGAACATAGGAGGAGTTCGAAGTTAAGGTTCGGCTTCCCACCACCACCAGCTAGCCACCGGCAGCTTATCATCATCGTGAATCGTAGGTAAGTACAAGATTTACTTTAAAATCGATATTAATTACATAATTGCGCCAACAAAATACACTGTTATTAAATACAATGTAATTTTTAACTTACTTAATAATTTATTTAATGAAGATATACCTAACAGCGTTATTTATTGCATTATTGGTGAATTAAACTGTTAGTTTGATTTTTTTTTCGCTAAATTATGTATGAACATAAAAAGTCTTACGCGTAGTTTGTATTACGAATATGTTCCGGCAAGAAAATGACTGAAATGGGTGCAGACATAGAGTATTCTCTAATGAAAATACAGAAAAGGTAGTCGTTTGATAGTTTATTAAATCGTCCAAATATCAAGGTACAAGTTCCTGAAATAAGATACTCCATTTGGGTCTCAAAATTGGATTAGTTTCCATATCTTTAACTTACAGACATTTATTTGTTAGAAATCATTCGTTGTTATTATAACGATGACTGGAACAAAACCACACCTGCACTCCAAGTTTGAGCCATCCAAGAATCCCCATTTAAACTTGTCCTTACTACGGCCGACCTGCGTCCTATATTTTATTATGATCAATAACTGTTTGATCGACAAAATAATAAGGTTTAACGTGGTTTCCTTGAAACTCTTCGGTTATGGTTTTGTTAAACATAAAGAGAGGATTTCCCCAACAAACTGTTTAATTTAAATTGGTTCCAATAAATATTTACTAATAGTAGGTAATTTATTATTTTGCTAACACATGAAAGTAAAAAGCTTTGGGGGCTTATTACGGAGAGTTGAAAACCCCTTGTACTTGTTTTAATTGACATTTAGTATGGAAATATCATTTTAAAGAATGTTCAACTTGCATTTTAATTTTTGCCCTTGTTTTTTATTTTTAATTATAAACATAATTTTACTACTGCAGTATTTATACATTCAAACGTAATGTGTTCAAAAGTAATCCTCTGTGCGTGTATAGTCTATTTGCTCGGAAGCAGGAAAAACACTCATTTAAGTAGGTGCATAGTAATAGGTGATTTTGACGCCCCAGTGCGCTCGCGATCGGCTCGTGCTTAAGTCCCATCTTATTTACTTCCTTCATATTTGATGTCAATTACGAATTTGGAAAACTTAGGCTTACTTTTAATTGTTTTTGGAATCGGACCACTGTGCGGCACTTCTTCTCAGCACTTGCCAAAATTTGGTCCCGAAGCGCTGGTAGGGCAATAAGATTATGAGACATGTGAAGGCTCTATAATAGCAAAACCTTTAAAGTATTTTTTTTATATACAAATACTAGCGGCCGCCCGCGACTTCGTACGCGTGGATCCCGTTTTACCCCCTATGCCTACGTCATAACATCTACCTGCATGCCAAATTTCAGCCCGATCCGTCCAGTGGTTTGGGCTGTGCGTTGATAGATTACTATGTCAGTTAGTCAGTCAGTCCTTTGAGTTATATATTTGAGAGCACTATTTTAATAGTCCATGCCAATAAAGGAATTTTGACTTTGACGTAACTATAACTTTAACCGGTGTTTTTGTATGGAGTTTGACAGACTTGACGTTTGTTACGGTTGAAATTTAGGTGGAGCAACTCAGCCTCACTGAAATAGTGACTTACTTGACATAATAATATGGTCCTATGTCCCCTAGATGGGGTAGTGGGCGTCCACAACAGTCTTCCATCGCGTTCGGTCTTGAGCTTCGCGCTTGATCTCGCTCCAGGTCTTGCCGATTTTCTTCACCTCGTCTGCTACAGTGCGCCGCCAAGTTTGGGGGAGATTGCGTCTGATAAAACGCCAATGTCCGTTTGTCCCATCTTCCAAAAAATACTAATATTTAGACAAATTCGTCGTATTAGAAAAATATAATAAGAAAGTAGCTCTATGTATAGATTAGTTTGTCACCTAAGCCAATGCAATATTCATCTAATTTAAAGTGCCATAATACATACCTACCTAAAAGTTAAACACGCCATGAACACTGGTTTAAAATTGTATTTCCATAAACTGGTGATCAACGCGAGTTCAACTTTTTGTAATAAGGGAAAATAATTTTGTCGGCAAACATGGATCTTAAGGGTGAAATAGAGAATTTAAGTTTGTATGTGTGTTACAAACTTTAATTCGACTTTTTTCGTGCCTTTATGAGAAGATTTTCCCAGAATTGTCATTCAGTCTTATGACAACTATACATTTATTATCATTGAGTAAATAGTAATATTTTGGCACTAGTCCCAATCTTATTCGTAGGGCGACGAGAAAGTTACTGGCAATAGTCAAAATCGTGGATCCAATGGGTTGATGTGAGCATATTAAATATTGTTATACACCATGTATAAGGTGGCTTGTAGTCTACCATCAGGTTATTAATTATTCTAAATCTTTATGTGGCTAACTTAGTAGGTATTCGGGCTTTACTTCTCAGTATACCACTTTACATACTCAAATTCAAGTTTTAGCCCGAATGCAACTCTAAAATATACCTGAATTACTTTTATTGCTGAAATATATTTTATTTTGCGCAAATAAATAAGAGTTATTAACCAGAGTCTTGAAATTTCATTAACTTTTATTTCTTTAAAACAAAGTTGACTTAATTACGACGACAAGTCCGGTGCTCTATGTAATTTCATACAATTTCCTTACACGTACAGTTAGCACGCACACATGCGCGATAAAGTGTGCGCACGCGCATCTACGCACACATGCATATGTGGCTGACGCACACATGCGAAGAATAATTGTGGAGAGAATAAAAAATCGCTTGGAGTGTGCCTTACTTGCGGTACAGACGGAGGCGGCAATGGATTAGTAAGTTTTAGTTTGATTTTGTTTATAATTTTAATTTTTCATTCACGACGCTCATTTATGTGATAATAATGATGATATTATGCCCTTTTCTCCATCGTCTTCTCGTACATAAGGTGTTAAGTCAACATTTAAAATGGTATCAACATGTCGTACCTACCTTGCGGTGTACAAATTAAATTAAAATAATTAATATCAATTACAATAATACCGCATAATCAATCAAATCAAATTAAAATTATTAACAAGTAAATCAAAATTTGTCACTTATGAAGTCCGTCAGATTATAATAACATTTTTCAATTATTAAAGTTTTAAACCTTAATTTTAAATTAATAAAATTCTAACTTTTTTATTGTTATGTGGATGTTATTGTAAATTTTAGGTGCCATACATTTAATCAAATAACTACGATCCTAATCCTAGTTTTTTCTTTTTTACAACTGTGCTATTCCTGTGCAGCCAGAATATGAACAGGAAATTGAGTGGTAATGAAAATCATTCTTATATACCATGGGTTGTCACCACACCATGTCGATCGACAAAGTTTTTATGAGCTGTCAAAACGTGATTCCCCCATAAATGTTGGCAAAGGGAACCTGTGACGTCACTAGTTTGAGAAATCAGTTGACTGATTATATTAGCTACTTAAAAATAAATTTTACCGCGAGTTGATTTCAGGGCATGAATTGTTTTTAAAATGTTTGTGCTTTGGAAGTTTATTATTGGTTAACGGTAAAGTAAATTACCGAACTATTAGTTAAAGAAAGAAGCTATCATAA